GAAGCAAATTATAGGAATTGTACTTTTACATATGCTTTCCACGGCTTTATGCAGATCATTGTTTGAATCTCATTTCTTGATTCATTACTAACTTATATGGTCAAAAAAATTGGTTATGGATGGTCTTTGTAACGATAGGTTTGTATCTAAGACCTTGGCTCAGTTCATACAAATCAACAGGAAGGCACTCCACATCTGCAGCAAATTTAAAAATTTCCTGTGAATCCAAGTTGATCTTCCATGCCTTATTATTGCTAAAATTTTCTTTAACAGTTACAATGCAATGTCACGAAATTGTTAGTGCCAGTGTATGAATTTCCTTTTAACAAGCCTTTCTACCTAATCAATATGGCTTTCATTCACTATGGATCAAGGTAATTTAATTACTAATCAACATGCCAGTAAATTCAAACCCATGTCTAATATGTATTGTCTGCTTCCATACATACACACCTACCATACCAAATGCATTCTTCCTTCTTCAACAAAAAAATAGTACAAAATGTAGTACTTCCTTACAAATGAAAGTATCATTCTCTATTATATATTACAAATGTTATACCCTCTATAGGGCATGAAAAACCCAAGGTTCATTAAAACTGAAGACACCTCATTTAACATAGTGCATAATCAAGGAAATTACTAGAGCCAATACAAGTATGTTAGACTTAATCCTCTCTATACGCAGCTTCCTTTTTAACTTCTCAATTTTCCTTTGTGATTCTTCAGGCAACATAGCGCTCCTAAAAGACGGTTGTGATGTTACCTCATCCGCAGTACTTGGAACATCATATATATTTTCATCGTCAACCCATTTAAAATAACCACATGTCATGTCTTTGTTCTGAATTGAATATGCAACAAGAAAATATAAGACAATGAAATCAAAATAAAACAAACAAAACAAATTAGCATTATCAAGCTTACCATCCAATTGGGACACCTCCAAAATTCTCTTCCACAACTGGCTTGCTTCTTTGAGACCACTAAAATCTTCCTATCTCCACACCCACAAAAAGGATTAGCCAAACTCTATCGTACGGTAGAGCATCGAGACCTACAAATTTTAAATAAAATTTCTGAGAGGTATGAAATGAATTTTGCTATTAACGCAACTCCAATGACAAAGCAATATAATTTTAGAGAGGGGAAAAAGTAAGGTTCACCTCTACATTCCTATTTTTAAAGAACTTGTCTTTTTGAAATATCACTCGTGTAGTCAGATCAAGCTTTTCACATTCAATATAATGATGATCTTCCACGTTCCAAAAACTTGTGAACAAGCAGTGCCATATAGCAAACCAAATATTTGTAAATATTCATCATTGAGAGAGCATCAACAAAGGAATGAATAAAAAATTAGTACATGAGTTTGCTTTATCAGATGAAGCATTGTTGACAACTAGTTTGAAAAGGGAACACCAACAAACACAAATAAACTACTACAATACAAACTGCTATGTGCAAGCAGGAGAACTTTATTTTGCCATACTTGTTCAGATTATAGAATTATTTTATTGTGATTTAGACAATATCAATTAACTTCAAACAATACCATTCTTAGGACAATCATTGGATTGTTTGTAGTAGTATTTTGTGTTCATTATCTTGCTTCCAATTTTTCACCACCATTATTTGGAAAAATATGAAACATACAGTATTGGCACCAAAAAAAATACAAACTTGCTATCAATAGGAAAGGCAAAAAAAACCCTATGTTGTCCTACATACAGGCATCAACTTTTTGGCTTTGGAGGAAACAATGAAGCAATTGAAATGTCTACCAAAATCAAATTTAGGACAAACCCACAAAATAGAAAACTAGGGATTACGGTTTACCTTGTCACCATCAAGTTTTGAAACAAAAGCAGATAACTCCACGAATAAGATGATGTTTCTATATGGGTGACTGTTGACCACGACAGCACACTACGGGGAAGAACAACATAAATAACACACAATCGCGTTATTTATACCTTCTCAGTTTAGCTCAGACCAATAGCCTGCGAGAATCTAGAAGAAGAAGCAGGGTTTCAGGGCGGAGGGATGCTTGACGGAGTAGAGGCCTAATCACCGACACATAATGATTGAGATGGGGAAGAGAAGAATGAATCGTTTGTGTGGAGGCAGAGAGGGTCAAACAGAAGATGGTGGGGGTGAATAAAAATTTTAGGGTTCTGAAGAAGAAAATGGGTATTGGTGTTTAGAGGGTATTTTAGTCTTTTCCAATAAAATGTGTGTCTTTACTTACACAACCAAACATAATACAGGACACAATACACAATATTCTGTATAACATCCAAACATAAAACACAGACACTACCCACTGTGTCTCTGTCCATCATTGTCTCTGTGTCTCTGTCCCCAGTATCCAAAGACAGTTTCCAAACGCTACCTAAGATCCTTTTCGCCTAACGCGTGGGCTTCATCACCACCTGTTTTGACTTCCCTCCCTTGCCACCATTCTCATGGTTGGAATAAAACATGAGTGAATGAAGTCCACTAAACCTTGGTGACAATCAACCCTTAGAAGATGGAAAAGCTTTGAAATGCTAACGATAAGAGATTTACCTTACCTAAACTCATACCACTTTACTTATTCATACAATTTTAATCAAACAAAAGTTATCCATGAATATTACTCCACATTTAACCAAATATCATTATCCAATCCATATTTTTGTGCCACTTTATCTATCTCATGTCTGAACATCTCATCAATTAACAGTACTCTAGGTACTCTTAGGCTCCTAAATTACTGTCAACGCACTCTCCTTAGTTACGAAAGACTTACGCAATATGGATAGTCAATAGTTAGCTAGAACATACACGAATACAAGTACAACGTGTGCGTTCATAACCTTACAAACAAATGTATAGTTAGGAGTTCAGTTAAGAAATGAGTGTAAGTCCTGTAAATGCGTTTCATTTTTACATCGTATACACATCAGTGAACTATCATTTTTTGCAAATTTCCACAATCAACTCCAGACTTTATACCTCCAATGTATCCCTGAACTATCTATACAAAATCTTAAGAGTGGCACATCAAATCATATTATTCTAATACATATATTACAATCACACTAATCGATATACTATAACATATGTGTTATAATATTACTTGTCGATATATTAATACATATATATCTCATAATCGCATCAATAGATATTTTTGTGCACATATATTAGTTTCTCCTTTTTTTACTTATATTTTCTCAACATTCTCATATAATCCAGCCACTCTCATTCATCAGTAATTTTTGTATATTCGTATCCATCTCATACATCACTAGTGTGAGTATATAGATCTTACACAAGTGTAAGTCTAAAAACTTTTATACTCGATTTGAGTCTTTCATTTAACTAATATCAAATGGCCAGTGAAGTAATAAATTATAACCTGTTAAATAGATGTAAGTTAAATTAAAGGCTTAAATCGAGTGTAAGAGTTTTTAAACTTATACCGGTGTAAAAGATCCTGCTCCTATATATATATTACTGTCTTAATTTAAAGTTTGATATAATATTATTGTTTAATAATAAAAAATTATAATAATTCACAATGGAGGTTAAAATTTATTTACTAAAAATATTTATTTAAATATATTTTATTGTACTCTTTTAAAAAAATTATCATATTTACGTATCATATCCAATATTCATACTCTATAATATTTATCACAAGCATTTTATAAAATAATGTTTTTAATATGTGTGGAATGATATTTAATAAAAATTTATATAAGTATTAAAGAATTTAATATATTATAAAAATGGAATACATAAGCTTCTTCTGTAACTAGAGTAAAACTACTTTTAAAGTCCAGATTATTAATAAAACAAATATGTAGGCCAACCTTATTATTATTATTATTATTAGATTTGGTTTGAAATGCAATCCATTTAGCAAAATCAGATTTCCGTTCTCGCCCAAACCCAGATAGATACATTCTGTAGTCTGTACTGCTCTTTTTTCTCGGGTGTCGCTATAGGCTCACGGGTGCTGCTGCTTTTGGATACTAAAACACATAAATGTACCTTTGTTTCTAGCATACATTTAAGGAATTACTTTCTGCGTCCATTAATTACGCCTATTTATTTATTTATTTTTATTCTCAAAATACTTTTAAAAAAAAACTTACAAGATTTTGTTAAATTTAAAATTTAAATTTTGAAACTGTTTAATTAACTTTATTTTTCTCAGCCAAAATGAAAGACAATTTACGTTGTCTATATGGCCCTTCTACTAGTCAAGAAGACAATTAAAGGTTTAAGGTCGCAGTGGAGAACACCTATAGTAGTGAGTAACACCCTTGCAAAGCTGAGAGAGAAAGCTTTGAACGAGGGAGGAAGGAAGAAGATCAAAATTGGTACCTTTGCAGTGTGAACCAATGATTGAGGATTGGAGGATGCAGCTTATGATATGGGGATTTTATTTATTGATTGGCTTCGTAACAAGAACTGACGAAGGAGGGCGGTATGGGAAAAGGAGTGCTCTTGGAGTTCAGAGTGAATGCAGTAAAAAACTTGAGATCAAAAGACTCCTGTGCAAAGTTGATAAATTTTAGTCTCATGGAGAGATGTCATTTCTCTAAAACCATATTAAAAAATATAGTTTGTAAGAAAAAAAGAAATAAAAGTTTGAACAGAATATGAAAAATATATTAATTTCAATGAAAACAAAGAAATTATTTACAAAAGTAATAACATGACTTATATAATCAACTAATTTTTTATTTGACATGATTATTAACTAATTGCTATACTTTTCACATTAACAAAGGTTTTAACTTTATTCTCCCTTTCATTTTATTCTTCAATGATTGTACTTTTCCTTCTCAAAATAACTTATTGGACTTCTTTTTTTCAAATTTTCAGCCTCCATCCTTCGGCAAACAAAATTTCTTCAAATATAAAGAAGAGATATTTTAGAAAAAAAAATAACAATAGAGGGGTTTAAAATGTTAAAAAAAGGTCAGCACTGCATTTGGCGATAAGATTGAAAGAATTTAGAATCACAGTCATTGCGAACAAGTAGAAGAGGATTCCAGGAAACTAGTGTTTTTCTTTTCAATTTTAAGGAGCATATTGAATACCAACAAAATAATGGCCGAAACGAAGTTGAGTATAAAGGACCAAAGATGGTCACTCCATGGAATGACTGCTCTAGTGACCGGAGGCACCCGAGGCATAGGGTTTGTTGTTTCATAATATCCAATTAATTGATGCGTGGCTTTGCTTTTACTTTCTTCAACATTTCCTCATTTTTATTTTTCTTAATGAATAAGGTATGCCATTGTAGAAGAATTAGAAGAATTTGGGGCAGCTGTTCATGTATGTGCACGTACTCAAGATGATGTTAATAAATGTTTGGAAGAGTGGAAAAGCAAGGGACTTAATGTGACAGGTTCAGTATGTGATATACTATACTGCGACCAACGTAAAAGATTAATGGAAACTGTTTCCTCCATTTTTCACGGAAAGCTCAACATTCTAGTAAGACTCAACTGCATAAGCCTTTTAGTTGTTGTTTCTTTACATGATTGGTATCTGTTTAATTTACTCATGTCGACTAATATTGTGGACTCGCGATTTAAGCAGGGTTTAAGACTTTCAACCCCTCCTTATCGACTGGGTTGTTTAGTGAAATCTTCCATAAGATAACCTAACTATATCATTAATTATAACAAGAACCCTTCATACATTTTGTAATTATTTTTTATATTATTATAACTGAGTTGATTTATAAGTGTTTCTCTTTTAGGTTAACAATGCTGCTACAATTAAATCGAAGAAAATAATAGATCACACACTTGAAGATATAACAGCTATAATGGGAACTAATTTCGAGTCTTCATATCATTTGTGTCAACTAGCACACCCACTTCTGAAAAACTCTGGATATGGGAGCATAGTGTTCCTTTCATCCATTGCAGGTTTAAAAGCTTTTCCTGTTATATCTTCATATGCAGCCTCTAAAGGTATGTTTACTTTTCTTCCTATCGCAGCATTGTGTACCTATCTAACTTGATGAATTTGAGTCTGGAGCCATAAATAAATTTTACTATCTGAAATGAATATATAATTCTGCACAGGAGCCATAAATCAATTCACTAAGAACATAGCATTGGAATGGGCAAGGGATAACATGCGAGCAAATGCTGTAGCACCTGGACCTGTTATGACCACACTTTTGGAGTCATACGTGGTATGTCTTCGGATTCCGAGTTAATTCCCTATTGTTGACAAAATATATATATTAATTCTTCATTGTATTGGAGGTGGAAGGATATGCATCAAAATCCTAACTATCTATTATTTCATAATCATGTTTAGTCATCTAGCTTGATCGTTACTGTTAAGTTAGCATTTGCTCGTAATATTAATATTAAGAATTTTGTTAACTCTAACTTTATTTAATATCGAGCATAAACATTTAAAAATGTGATTTTATTAACTTTAGTCTTAAGTATTTAAAAATAGTAATTTTCTATTAAAACTAATATTTATTACATTTTTTATTTTCAAGACAATAAATAATTTTTTAATAAAATTATTATTTTTAATTGTTTATTCTTAAATTTAAAGAATGAAATTAAGTTTCTATTAAAAATATATTTATTATATTAAAGATATAAAAGTATGATGATGTTTCTTTTATAATTATTTCAATTCAATATAAGAATAAAGTTAATAATTTTTAATATTAATGATAACTGGTCTCTTATATTTAGGATTCTTGTGAAGGGAATGAGACTGTGGATATTGCAGTGTCTCAAGCACCCGTGAATCGCTTGGGAGAGCCGAAAGAGATATCAGCATTAGTAGCTTTTCTTTGCCTTCCGGCAGCATCGTTCATCACTGGACAGGTTATAGCCGTTGATGGTGGTTACACTTCCTAAATTGCTATTAGTGATTCAGAGATCAAGAATGAGCAACTCTACTGTATAAACTCCTCTACTTTGTCTAGTATTTTTCTACGGTTTAGTCTCGTGTCTTTTTGCCAAACTTTCCCCTAATCAAACGATTCTTAATTATCTTCTCAACTGTTTTATCTTTTCTTTTAAATGAAACGCTAGTTTCCTTATGAATCAAGTTGTGATTAACTCTTGTGAAAGTCAACATCTTTTCACTTTTCATTTTTGTAAAGTAAATATATACTTTGATTGCTGAAAGTCATTTTTTTTACTCATTAAAAATCAATATTGATGATATTTTAAGACTAACTAGTTTTTAAAAAATAAAATAATATTATAAATTATTACGGAAACACATTTATGTTTATATGTAAAATTAACTATACTTACTTATTATAATATATATCTATAATAAAATTTATGATTATTAAGATTTAAATATTTAGTTATATATAATATTAATTAGTAACGTAGATGTTATGTTAAAAAAATATATACATAAAAAGTTAGTGATAGAAATGAATAAAATAAATATGATAAATAGAAAAAAATCAATTTTAATAAAAAAATTAAATATAAAAGAATTAAAAAATAATTAGAATCACCAAAAATAAAAAAAATAATTTTTTTAATTAACTGAAGATGTTTAAGTTCTTAAATTTTGAGCGTATACACGTAACTAGGAGCAAGAATTATTAATATGTTAGTCAGTCTAGATAGATGCATCATAATGATTTAGCAATTTATTTCTTTTAAAATAAATATTATTTTCATCATTTACTTTATATTAAAGAAATTAATTTAGATAAGATACTTTATTGATTTTATATTTTTAAAAATAGAATATATGAGTTATGATAACAATGTTTTTTAAGTTAAATATTTTTCATTATTTATCTTATCATAAGATATTTTACTTTAAAAAAATTAATTTAAATAAGACGTTTTGTTAATTTTTAATTAAAAAATTCGGATGTCTAAGTGTGATAACTTGACAATTTCAATTCTTTTTAAAAATTAAATATTTATTTATTATTTATTTTTCATTTATTATGTAAAAGAGTTTAATTTAGGTAAGAAACTTTGCTAATTCCACGCCATTAAATGGAGTTGCAACAACTTAATAATTCTGACTTCTTTTAAAAGTTAAACAATTCTTTTATTATTTCTCTTATCATATATTATTTTATATTAAAGAAATTAATTTAGAATAATTAATTTGTCATTATTACGCTTTTAAATTTGGAGACTTGAGTTGTACCAATTTGACAATTTCAATTCCTTTTAAAAACTAAATTAGAATTAGAATCTAAATCATGTTTATATAAAATCTTTTAAATTCTAGTTATAAAATATATCAAATATACTATTTGAGTATGGATAGAGTTAGATTTTATAATACGTATACCTATAAAATATTTTGGGTTATTCAAAACACAATTCAAAAATCCTATCAATTACAAGTTTTTTTTTTGGATATTCACTGAATTTAAATTCAATTGTCTTCCCTCATATAAAGAAATAATAATTAAGTTGATAAATTTAATTGAAACAATGGTTTGATAAAGCGGGATTTAAATATAGTCTATACTTTTCTTTTCTTTTCCTCTTTACAAAATAGCTTATAAGACAAATAGTTTAAAGGCATAAAAACTTAAAAGATGAAAAATCTTTTTTTTTTTAAATAAAATGCTTAATAAGTATGACTTTTGTGTTAATTATCACAAAAATCAATAATAATTTATAATTAAATTGTTTTGTGAAAAATGATTATATTATCAGTTTATTTTAATTAATTCTTATATAAAATATATTTTACTATTATAAAATTAAATCCCAAATTTAGATTTTAATTATCTTGAAATATTTTAATTTTTATATTTTATAGCAGACCAAATAAAGGTGTAAGATAATTATAAGCTACTTCTCAACATTATATAAATATTACATTTTAAAAAGATTAAAAGCCTATATTTTGAAAAATAAAAAGCATATTTGGTAAAAGAAAAAAATATAAGAAATTGAGGAAACACTAATCAAAGTTCTTAAGCACTAATTAAGAAGCTAAAAAAGTTACAAATATTGTTAATGTTCTCTATGTATAACATTCAATGTTCTTTTACCATAAATTTTAATAAAAATGTATTTATGAAATTTTTGAACAATACCTTGCAGATACCGGTTAGTAAAAGTTTATATTCTTTAAGAAAATATGCCTTTAATTATTAGCCATCAATTACAAATAGATTTTTATGAAAATATTAATAATTTATAATATGTTTTTAATTTAAATAGTATTTTCATCATACACATAATATTTAAATAAAAAAATGAAGTTCCAGACAAAGAAAAGCATATAATTAAGTTGTTGGCTTGTCTAATCTATGTCCATGCGCTGAATCTGCCGATTGGTACAATAAGTGATTGACCTAAGGAAATATGAATTCGTTGGAAAGAGTTAAAAGTAACAGTTAGTTGATATAGCTATTTTGAGGCTTTTTTACGTTGAAAAAATCAAACGAATTTTTACAGTGTTTTTTTAATATAAAAATAATTTTAATTTAAAGTAAGTTTTACTCTGCAATAAGTAAGTATTGTCCTTAATATGAACAATACTGTCAACAAATATTATAAAAATTAGTATCGTATATCGTAAGCTGATATACTTTTGTGCTGTCATGTGTCACCCAAAAAAAGCATTATCTGTTTACCGACGTTTATAGCTTTTCAAAAAGAAAAGGGGCTGTGTGTGAAGGATCTGGATGTACTTTTGATCTTTGTTCCTTTCGGGAGTGTGCTAGAACTTTAAATAGGACTTATAGATGGTGTTTATTTTTGTTTTAATGAAAATGTAAAAAAAAATATTAATTATAGGCTGTAATTTGCAACAAAAAAAAAAAAGTGAGAGAATCTCGATTGTTCTAAACCAGATATTGAGACATAGGATTTTTGTATGAGACTAACAAAGTTGCGGATATTTTGGCATAGAAATTTGCACCAACTAATTGCATTATGTATGTTTTCGAGAAAATTATTTTAAGTATAGAATTTAAAAATATCATATATTAAAAATTTGAGATTTTAAAAAAATTATAAAATTATTATTTACAGTAAAAATTATACGTTGTAAACAAATAAATCTAAAAATTATTTAAAGATTAAATTTTAAATTTTCTTGAATTCTTTTAATTGTGTTGTTAAAACGTCATAAAGCACAAATTTAAATTGGAATAGTAGAACAATAAAATGGAAACAATATCAAACTAAGTATAAACAGGAAAAATACTAAACAAAAACATAATTATAGGAACAGAAAACATAAAATGAAACTAAAAACTGAAAACAAATTACAGAAAAGTAAACATACGACTTCAACACTAAACAACAACAATCGTGTGTCTCTGGGTAATTAATGATTGGTCTAGTGAAGAATTTAAGCATGCAGAGAGTTTTAGGTGCACAATCTGGATGCAAATAGTGACTTCAAACCTTATGATTTTCGTTGTGTATTTTTTTCTTTTTGGACTCCTTGTGTCTTGACCTTAGGATGGATTTCTTATGTTTTGGCAATTTCAAAGAAAACCTGTCAAAAAATTATCGTGGATTTAAAATAATTTTTCTTGTTATTTTGTGTTTTTGACCAGTTTTAAGAGAAATCTAGGAACTCATTTAGTTTCGTGGATGTATAATGATTTCTCTATCAGTCCCTATTTTTCGATCAGTTTTGGAAAAATTTGTGAGCTCATTTAGTTTTGTGAATTTAGAATATTTTTCCTGTTAATCTCTATTTTTTGACCAGTTTTGGTTATTTTCAGTTTAGGGACTTGAAAATTCTTAGAAACTCCTTGAAAGGCCATCCTTTTTTTGATAAAAAAAAAAATGAGTCTCTCTTAATATTCTATCAAAACTACTCAAAATATGATCTTTTTGATGAGACTCAATGCGATTCTCCAAATCTCTTCAAAATATAGCCTTTTATTCAACAAAGAATGAGACTCTTATAACCCTCCAAAACGTCTCAAAATGCAGCCTTCAACAAAGAATAAAGTTCTTCTGTCAGTCATCATAGAAATGAGTCGAAAGGTAGTTCCTTCGACAAGTTTTGGACTTATATTTTTACAGTATCTTAACTCATCATGGTGAAAGGACATATGATTCTTTTTGATTTTTTTAGTCGAAAGCTATGTTCATGCCACTGAATTTTAATGTGTTTTTCTCCTTAAAAAAATATAGTCTATTTCCTACCACAAAAGTTCAGTAGAGATACTATATAATTTAAAAAAATTTCCTTTCTCCAAACAAATATAAAACACAAAAATTATCAAGATAATTTATTAATTTAAACAAATTCTCGTAATTTTATAATTTTTTAAAACTATTTCATATGTATTATTTTTAAATACTACAAGTGAAAAAAAAAAGTTTTGGATCAATTTTCCCCTAAAGTTAATTTCAAATCCGTTGGTAAAAAATGTTTTGTATTTTGTATAAATGGTGCTTTTCTGTTTTTGGAGGATCGAGCAAGTTAGAAAGCAGAAAAATGGCAGAAACAAAGTTGAGCTGCTTGAAAGACCAGAGATGGTCACATTTTAAAACAAAAATAAACATTTAAAAAATTAAATTTTGAAGTTGAAGACCAGAAAAATAAACGTTTATACTTCATACATTACATTTTTATCTGGTCCAAAAATAAAAATGTAATGTATGAAGTATAATAAAAGTTTTAATTTTGAAGTTGAAGACTTAATTTAAACATTTAAAAAATTAAAGAAATTAAATATGAACAATTAAAAATAAAGAAATTAAAATTATAAATACGTTAAAGTATAAGAACAAAACATATAATTAAATCTAAATATTAATTAAATTTATAACATTTTAGTTAAAGATATGTTTTTAAAAATTAAATATATATTTATATATTTTTATAATAATCAAAATTATTATTATTATTATATATATATATATATATATATATATATATTCAATAATAATTAAATTAATGATTAAATCGTTGAAAGAGAGAGTATAAGAATTGGGTGGGGACTGGAGAGAGTTAAACGAAAGAATTGCTTGATACAGTGGGATCTAAAGATACTCTACAAAACAAATTATCAAATTGCAATTTAAAGTCACAATAAGTAAACATTTCTTTTAGAAGAAAATGCTTTATAAACTAATTTTATTTACTAATTTAATTAATATAAAAATTAAATAAATTATTGATATCGCCACTCACCAATAAAATCCAATAATCAAAGTCAGAACTATTTATGGCCGGTTTATTTTTACACGTTCGAGACCTCCATTGCACTGAAGCAAAAGCTTTTTGCTGTATAAAATCACTGTTTCTATACCTCAAAGTTGTAAAAGTAAAGTTTCAAATTTTTTAACAAAACACAGTGAGAAGTGATGATTGGGTGCAAGACGATAACTGTCCACGATTCTCATGCTACCACCACACAATCTTTCTCTTAAGTTTGTCAGATTATATCTTCATAGCTGAGGACCTTCGTTATTTGCATTTAGAAACACATACTCTTCCCCAATCGAGGACCGCCAAACCTGTCAGCTAGCGTTTTTCTTCTAAGAAAAGAAAAAAACTATTTTGTATAAATGGTGCCTTTCCGTTTTTAGAGGATCGAGCAAGTTAGAAAGCAGAAAAATGGCAGAAACAAAGTTGAGCTGCTTGAAAGACCAGAGATGGTCACTCCATGGCATGACGGCACTCGTCACAGGTGGCACCCGAGGCATAGGGTTCGTTCTCTAATGTCACTCTCATCTCTAATGTTAGGTTAATTTCTCATTACTATGATTATTATTGTTGTTGTTGTTAGGCACGCAATAGCAGAAGAGTTGGCAGAATTTGGGGCTTGTGTGCATATATGTTCCCGTAATCAACAAGACATCGACAAATGTTTAGACGAATGGAAGAGCAAAGGATTTCGCATGACGGGATCTGCGTGCGATGTGCTGTCTCGTGACCAACGTCAAAATTTAATCAAAACTGTTGCCTCAACCTTCCATGGAAAGTTAAACATTCTGGTATCATCCTTCTATGTTTTTAGATTACTTTTTTAAAACAATTTTATATTAATTTAATGGTTTTATTAATATCAGCTCTTAACATTAATTTTATGCATATAAGAGTGATAAGTGTTCATTAAAAATGTAAGTGTTTATTTTTTTTTTATCTTTATGTAATAATAACTTTTTTTAAAATAATTATAACTTTCAAATGCTTACAATTAGGCTTGAGAATTAATATTAATGTTTTTTAATTTAAATTTACAAATTCAACTTTGCTGTCAAGTGATTTATGTATATGATTTGGACAGTGCTGAAAAATATATATTTTTACAAGTGTAAATGGAAATAGAGCAATTATCTTTTGTGCCTAGTTTAAATTGTTAGTGTGTCTGCGTATTATTCACTATTAGATGGCAATTTTTAATTTGATTTGGCATTATCTAAACTAATACATAAATTACTTAATATTAGAGTGTGAAGTCTGTGCTGAGAAAAGAGATAAAGAGTAGGATTTTTTCCCTTAAATATGATAAAATTTTAAAAATATTATTAAAATAGAGTTTTTACAAAATATTTTGTGTCTGAAATAATTTTTACTACGTTCCTATGAGTATCGTTCTTTATTGGACCGACACTTTATTTTTTAATAATAAAAAAATAAATATTGATTATATAAATGCCAATATATAAAGGCTAACACTTATTTTTTTTATTATTAAAAAAATAATATTGATGAATTGAGTATCTTCAACGACACATCTTTCCTCTCACATTCATCATATTCATCTGACATAATAGCACATTAGCCACACTATTTTAGAACAGTCCCTTTGATATGTTAAAATGAAGAGGTTCTCTAAAATATTGTCTATAAAAATAATACGGATTTAGAGAGCTGTTTTTGTGATAAAGTGTTATTATATAATACACTTTTTTTAATCTTTATAATATTGTACATATAATAAATTTTTATTAAAAATTATAAAATTAAATATATACTAATAATATTAAATATTACAATTTTATTATATATATAATTTTCTATGATGTGAAATATTACATGTTAAAATATTTATACATAATATTATGCAGGTTTAAAAAATTGTTATATTCTGTGCTATTAATGATTCTGGCATTGAAACGGGAACTTTAGGAACCATTTCGGAACTTAACTTATCAAAGGTACTGTTGCGAAACAGTGTGACTAATGTGCCATTCTCTCATCTTATCTCAGCAGCGGTAACAATGAGTAGTTGTCCATAGCCGACTCATCAACGTTAATTTTTTATTATTAAAAAATAAGTATCAGCCTTTTATATAATCATAAAAAAAATAAATGTCAGCTTAATAAATGACGACACTAACAGCGACATGGCAAAAATCATCCTAAATCGAAAAAAAGTTTTGCAAAAAAGCTTATTTTGATATTTTTTTTTTAATTTACCATATTTAGGTAAAAAACTCTAAAGAGTATAAACATTATAACTGAAGTGAATAAAAACTTCGTAACGATGCATAACATCAATTAAACACTTAGCTTTTAAATTCTCCCATGTCATTACCTTAATCATGCATAAAAAATAAAAAAATTTATAAAGTGCACTTGTATTCCAGATGATGCTAAACTTTTTGAAACCATCACACCTTTATTAAATTCATACTATATCTTCAGCAGAGAAAACCAAAAATCCTTAGTTAATAAGGTTAATATGCCCCTTCTTAAAAAGCAATTTTCTATTAAGGAATAACTTTATTGTTTGGAAGCTACACACGAAATCTGGATAACTTTATTGTTTAGATGGATCTTTTCATAATTAGTTATCACCATTCAAAAGGTATCATTTTGATTAATTCTTCCCTAGGTATTTGTCCTTGAACCTTAACTATGAAAGGGACTTCTTGTCCATCCCAATTAGCAATAACAAATAAATAGTCATGAACACTTCTAGGTATTAGAAGATCATAGGTATGATTTTGCTGGTAGAGTATAATCTTTAAGTGGAACATTGTAATTTAAAAAGATTATTAGAACACTTCCAGTATAAAAGGTGGTTAATAAAGTAACAATTACTACATACTCATAATGGAGATAAATGATATTTAAAAGAGCTATTATAGTGGTTGGTATATTCTTTTTACCATGAAGAAACAAAACTAATCTTACAACTTCAAAATGCAAGGTTGTATATCCTTCATGCTTTGAAGACTCGGTGAACATTTTTGAAATCTCAAAATCTATGTATTGTTCTTGAAAAGTTGCTATAAGATCACACTGGTCCATTCTTGAAGATTGGACATATTCCTTAATAAAAGATTGCTTCTTAAGAATGAGCATATTAACCATATTATTTAGATATATTTCTTTGTGAAGACTTTATATGGCTTAATAAAGATGTAATGGTTTCAAAGAGTTTATCATCATCTGCGATGTAAGTGTAATCTATAAGGTTTTCTATTTTTTCATAGGCAATTTTTAGGATTTGGGATAATTACATGAGAGAATTTAGAAAAAGATAGAGTTAGCTATAAAAGAGTTAGGTGCTTGATTGGTGTTATCCATTATTTTGAAGTTCTTACTTTATTTATAATGTTCATATACCTTTTGTTTCTATTCTCATCAGAGACTTCAGACTTTGACACTAAGTAATTTATGTATTAGTTTTGATATTGTTGAAAAAAATGTAAATGAAAAATAGGAATTATTTTGTATGCTTAGAATAAATTGTTATATTTTTATTTTTTTTTGCATAATATACATTGTAACATGATAATTTTCATTTTCCAGTTGAGAAGTAACCAAATATTGTAGCTCTTCTGTTAAATTATATTCAAAATTAAGACTTTAACTTGCATGAAGGCAACCGACCATAATGATAATGTGAGAAAATCAGGTCTCTATTAAAAAAAACTTTGATATGCTGTGTTAAACATGCCTTTCAAATCGATCTCAAGCTGAATATTATTCTTGTGTTGCTCTTTCAAATCAATCACAAGCGAAAATTATTCTTTTGCCCTTCTCTAACATCTAAACGAAAAAAAACAAATATAAAACACATCTTTCAAATATTTTACATTTAAGAAATTAAATTCAATTAATGTGGATTGAAAATTCAAGTTTCTGCTATTAACCTAAATAAGGATGAACCTTCTTTTAATCAATTGCAAGTTTTGCCTCTAAATTGACTATAATTGACTTGGTAAATTATTTTTTGTAGGTAAACAATGCTGGAACAAGTACACATAAGAAAATTGTAGATTATACTGAAGAAGATTTGACAACAATCATGGGAACTAATTTTGAGTCTGGTTACCACTTGTGTCAACTAGCACACCCACTTCTGAAAACATCTGGATACGGAAGCATAGTTTTCATATCCTCTATTTCAGGATTGAAAGCTCTCCCTCTTTGTTCCATCTATGGAGCTTCCAGGGGTATGTTTTCTTATCTTTGTATACTTTACTAGAAACCTAGCATGTTCAATTGGAGTAGTGTAAGATAATGAATAAGAATATATAAAATTTAATTCAGGAGCTATGAATCAATTCACCAAAAATATAGCATTGGAATGGGCAAAAGATAATATTCGTGCAAATGTTGTGGCACCTGGAACTATTATGACCCGAAGTTTGGAGACATACATGTCGGTATGTAATGTTCATTAAAAGTTTATTCATTGCAAAGCATATCATAATTGATCTATAATTATTTTGTTAAGTTTAAATATACTTTTAGTACTCAAAATGTGACTTTTCCAATTTTAGTTACTATTTAAATTTTATTTCCTTTTAAATTTCTAATTCCTACACTTAACAAAAATACTATATTTTGTCCTTTTCTAAGAATTAACACGCATGATTTTTGCTATTTTAAAGACTGAAAACAAATAAAATATTAGCAGGGACTAGTTTCAAAAAATGTCATACAATTCAGAGAATGAAAACATTAATTATATAACTTTCATTTTAGATCGACTTGAATTTCATATTGGGTTACGTATATATATATATATATATATATATATATATATATATATATATATTTCTTTTTTCTTATATTCATCAATCTCTTCCTTTCTCATGTATGTGATGCTATTAATTGTGCTACTAACCTTTGTTCTTATTATAGAAATCTCCTGATCCTAATAATGTCTTGGATGGTATGATATCTCAAATACCAATTGGTCGTATAGGAGAACCAAGGGACATATCAACATTGGTTGCTTTTCTTTGTCTTTCAGCTGCTTCATATATCACTGGACAAATTATAACAGTCGATGGAGGTTTCACACTGTAAATTGTTATGCTGGAAAAATAAATTAAGTAAATGCTCAAAAAATAATTGCTGGATTGATTTGGTTTGTCATAAGCTCCAAAACTACTAATTATTATTAGTTGTTTCTTGTATTATGCTTATGGTATTTCAAGTGTTATGATTTTCTGCTATAACTTCTTTTTATTATTATTTTTCTCTAATTTCAAATGAATATATTGGTTCAATTTGGTTCATATGTGGCTAAAATTCACTGCTTTGGCTGCCACCTACTCTAACTCTTGCTTTGCGCTAACAATTTCTGTACCACATTTATCTAATTTACATGATTAATATGTAATATTTTAGCTTAAATAACTTTTAATTCATATATTGTAATGACTTTTTTATTTTGATCATTTTCATTAACGTCGTTTCTATTAAAAATAATTGACACATTATCTTTTAAGTACATTTAAAAAAAAAGAAAGAAAGAAAAATAATCTTTAAAATACTCACATTACACTACTGAGTATGCGCATCAATTAGTAGTGAAATGTTCCAACAGCTTAACTTTTGGTCTTGAGTCTTAGTGAATGCAACTACGTTAAATACTCAAAGGAAAAGTATTGTCGTCCACAGTGGTCTTATTCGGCTCGAACATGATTACCTTTAGTGAAAAACACTTGTGGTGTAAAGAAAATACTCACGTTATCATTTAAAGAGTCAGCAAAGACTAAAATAGTACAATTTTAAAAAAATAAAATAAACTTTAAAGGGAAAAAAAAATCAAAAAATAATAAAAATTAAAACACAGTTAAATCTAACATTATTCTTCTACAACTAGAGCATTGTCTTGGACAACAATTTTATATTGGTAGTTAACTATTCTTTTAAGATGAAGAATTTTTTTCCCTAAACCTTTTCTTCCTTACAAATTCACAAGGCCCCATATCAATCTCGAACAGGTTTATACCCTAGCTGAGTTTTGACGAGGAACACCAACGCAACAATACAAATGCAATAACAAACAATGTAGTGGAATCAATTCTTCCAACTTGTAAAAATCTATGAAGTGTAACAACAAATATTATAGTAACTAAAAAAATAAAATAAAAAATAAGCATTAAGTTATCTAACGTGAAAAATTTCCTTAATATGAGAGGTAAAAATGAGTCTTTTGGACCAGATAAGAGTACAAAAAAGTCACAAATTAATGCACAAACTATGTTTACAACCAGCTAATCAACTCTAACAATAAAACTTACAAAATAAGAATTAAGAAGATAAAAATACAAAAAAAAAAAAAGAGCTACTATATGAGCTCTAATATTTGCATCACATACCTCGTTTTAACGATCTAACCATTCAAAACAAAAAACATCATATCGTAAAATTGATGTTAATTTTTCAGTCTAATCCAATAGTGAACAACTTCTTAAATACAAATTTTTTGAGACTACTCTAAGTTTATACGAGAATGAATTTCTCTCTTCTCTACAATGGTGGTTGCTCTATCATTCTAATGACCTCTCTATTTCAACACTAAAGACTCATATCTATTTTTATAAGTGAGATAAAGTGAGTTACTCATTTTGAGCTTTTTTCTACATACGATAGGAGTTCAATACCTAACTTATCTCTCTCTTACAACTATGTGAAGATAATCGTCAATCTAATGATCTATGGTGGGAGTACTCATAAACTGGCTCAATTTATTAACCGAGTATGCGATACCAGTAGTTAAGAAATGAGTCACTCTTTATGTTAAGAAATTGTTAATCTAAGAGAGCTTTCTTTAATTCTATCATATCATATTCTTGGTACTTGTTTGAGTCTATATATTATTTTAGCAAGCTTCCAATAAGACCTATTAAAATTAACAAATCTCTCTAGTTGGTGCATATACATGGTTTCCTTCAAGTGAATTTAAGAAAGACACTATTAATGTCTAGCTGTTGTACATCCTAATTAAAATGGATAACAATTGTTAGAATGGTTCTTAGAATGCTATACTTGACCACATGAAATAAAGATTTTTTCAAAATCTAAACTAATAGTTTTTTAGTATCCTTTAGCAACCAATCTTGTCTTCTTTCCATGGCTCCATTTTATGTATATTTAGTTTTGAAGACTTACTTTGAGTTAATGACAGTTTCTTGTCCTTGATAAGGCGTCAAGGTCTGAGTGTCATTAGAAATTATTGCCTTAAAACTCTAAATTTATTACCTTTTTCCACTTGGACCTGTCTATAGCTTCTTTTGTTATTTCTGATTCTTTCTCATCTTCTTGCTTCTCAGTTGTTCCAATGTAGGGAAGTTTGGGGTTGCATATTTCTACTTTGCTTCTAGTGCACATTTTGTGAGTGTTTAGAAATGCTATTGGATTGATGTCTGTTGTTGCATGTTATGTGTTGGCTCTTACGGTGCTTGTTCTTCCTGTGTTCTCTTCAACACAAGGGATTGCCATTTCTCTGCAATTTAAGAGAACATAAGCAAGTGAGAATATTTGACTTGTAAGAATTGGATTGCTTTTAGAGCTTAGTAGACAAATGCCAAGTTAGAAAAAACTAACAAAATGTGAGAGAAATTATTTTTCATTAATTGTATATAAGACTTAAATATACATTTAAGTTCATGTAATTGTGTTGCTAATCTTTTATTATTATGCTATTAAAATACTATAATTACATAGCAATTAATCATATAAAATTTGTTATAATAATACAACAAATCCGTTGGAATAATAAACCAAATTATGCTGCTAAATGTTAGAATGTTGAGATTATCAAATATATTATTCTTTAACTGCGTTCATTCAACAACCTTGTGTTCATTTCCTCGTCCTTCTCGAGGGAGCCGGCTCTCTCACCCTCACTGATGTTGGCTCTTCAACCTTGAAGATGCGTTTAGTCTACATTTGTTCCTTCACTTATGGGTAAGTCTCGTACCTTTAGTGGCGCTAACTCCATTCGTTCGCTTCTATTCACCAATGCGAAGTTGAATTGTTAAGGTTAACCATCAAACATTTACAAATTTTTCATTTTAATATATACAATGCTCTTATTATAGTTGCCAATTCAACAATCCAACCCATATATGGTCGGGTTAGTTTAGGTGAAGTAAAGAAATAAAAATACACAACCTACCCAATCCATTAAATTTTCACCAATTTGGATCAGTTTTTATAGCAAAATCGATCCATCCCAACTTTTGAACACCCCTGATCAAAGTTATTTATGGCCGGTGACGATTGAGACCTCCGTTGGACTGAACCAAACTTTTTATGCAGAATAAAAACTCCGTTTCTATATCTTGAAAATCGTAAAAATCAAGTTTCTACGTTCAAACAAACACACAATTAGACACTTTCCAAAATAAGAAATGATCACTAGGTGCAAGACGAGAACTGTCCAAGTTTCACATGTCACGACCACACAATCTTTGGTTTAAGTTTGTACGCTTTCTCTTAAATTCTATTAACCCACCTTGTCAGATTATATCTTCATAGCTGTATTATTTCCGTTTCGAAACACAAATTCTCTTTCGCAATTGAGGACCACCAAACCTGTCAGCTAGCGTTTGTTTTCCAAGAAAAGAGAAAACTAAAAAAAAATTTATGATTTTTTTGGAAACTCCTTAGTATCCCCTCTATTCATGGACGTCAATATTTTCTAACTATTATATGATTTTTCTCATGACATTTGGATTTTTCTTTTACAATCTAATACTGAAACTAGACCTTTGATTCAAAATTTTATTACACAAATTCACAATAGCATCAAACTATTAGGAATGAAAATTGTGTTGAATTTCTATTTTTACGGCATCAATTTTATTGAACTTTCTGCCCCTAACTCACGTGAACTAGGAATAGAGTTGATCCAATTGGACCTTTTGATAGCTCTAATTATTTTGTTTTGAAACACCTCAACAATTAAATTTTATGATTGAGCGCAAACATAAATATATTAAATGTTGCATGATCCTTGCTTTTTCATTCCCATTTATCTAAACAATCCATGTTGCATGTCATGTTGTTCATCTAATTCATAGGTTATCTAAGTTTTAGATGGTAAATTCCATTTGAAAAATTATATATGATCTCTCCATCTTTTTTGAATTTAAAATTGTTTAGCAGTCTTTGTTTTCCTAGCAGCCTTTCGCATAACAGAACAAAATTAGATCCTCGACCAATTAAATGTGTATTTTTGGGTTTCCAATTTGGTATGAAAGGCTATGTTCTTTTTTTGAACATTTCAACTCTGGGAAATTTTTATATCTAGAAATGTTTTTTATGAACACTTAATTCCGTTTAGTAACAAAGATACTAATCCTGCTACCACCTCTGAAATGAATACTCATGACCCTCTTCAATTCGTAACACATGATTTTCATTCTCTAAATGGCTTGCTAATTAACAATTTAGATGTCAATAACAACATTTACTCGATTCTCCTCCTCTCTAACATAATGAACCTTTATTGCATAAATCTACTAGACAGGAATCACCTCCTAAGTTTCTTACTGATTATCATTTTACATGCTTGACTCTGCTTTCGCACCTTGCACAGCTATTAAATATCCTCTTCATACTGTTTTATCTTATCGTTTTTTATCTTCTTCGTATCTTAAATTTATTCCAACTATTTCTACTGTAACTGAACCCAAAACATATAAGCAAGTTGCTAAATTTGATCATTGGAACCAAGCCATGTAGGAGGAACTCACTACCATGGAACAAAATAACACTTGGAATGTCTCTGAGTTACCGTCTGGCAAAATTCCCATTTGATCCAAATGGGTGTTTTGGGTTAAACATAAATCTAATGGTACCATAGAAAGGTAGAAGGCCAGTTTCAATATAACTGAGGGCTTGTATTATTTTAACACATTTGCCTTGGTTGCTAAGCTAACCACTCTTAGTCTTTTACTTGCTATTGCCTCTTCCTATAATTGGCTTTTACAACATCTATATATATATCAATAATGCATTCTTTCGTGGTGATCTTGATGATGAGGTTTATGTGGAAATTCCTAAGGGAGTAACTTCTCCAAGTCCAAACTCTATTTGCAAGCTCCAAAAATCTCTTTATGGACTAAAACAAGCTAGCAGACACACAGGTCAATCACAGAATATTGCATTTACTTAGGTGACTCCTTCATTTCTCGGAAGTCAAAGAAACAAACTACCATGGTGCTCTGACATCGACTGTTTGTGAACTCTAATGGTTAAACTATCTTTTTGATGATTTCTGAGCCTCCATTATCTGCCCCTCTCTTCTCTACTGCGATAGTCAATGTGCTCAGCACATAGCTTCCAATGTTGTTTTTCAGGAAAGAACGAAGCACATTGACATTGTTGCCACTTAGTTCGCAAAAAACTACAATCTAATCTCTTTCGTTTACTTCTTATCAGTTCTCACAATCAAACATGCTGATAATATTTTAACTAAGCTCCTTCATCCTTCTCCTTTTTCTTGCATCCTTTCCAAGCTGGGAGTCCTCAATACCTTCCATCAGATACAAAACAAGCTCAAAATTCGTTAAATCAGTTATTTCACTTACTTGTTAGTTTTTTCTTATTTCCTTACAAAGACCTATGTAATCTTATACATATTTGTTCTCCCTGTGTACATTAATATCTTCTAATAAAGAAATTAAGTGCAGTTTACATTCAAATTACTTCATGTTAAGAAAACAACAATTAAAATAAATATTTTTAAAATAAGAGAAATTATTGTCAAAGTTTATTTTAAAAACACTTTTACAGTGATATAATCTACAAAAAAAATTTAAATTATAATAGGTTAAAATACATAATTAATTTTTATATTTGACATGTTTACAAATTAGTTTTTATATTTTAAAAAATTATATTTTAGTCTTTATATTTAACACTTATATAAAAATTAAAACATATTTTTTTGAATATAAAAATTAAATGTTAATTATAGAAATTAAATATATAATTTGATTAAAATTTAATATATTTAATTATGTTTTTCGTTCAACATGAAACTGCTGGACTCGATAACACCTGGCAGCTGCCATTATCTCCGCATGTTGTTTTTATATATAAAAAAAAAAAGTGACAAAAAACATTTGTGGAAAAATCTTAAATTGGAACGAAATTGTAGGATGCATGTAAGAAAAATGAATTAATTTGAAATAAAGAAAGGAACGAGTCATTGAATATTTTCAAACTATAAAAAATTAAAGTATATATGCATGAAAAATCAAACAATATATAAATAAAATAAACTTTTAATATGTTTTTTATTTCTACAATTTTTTTATATATTTTAGTTTTTTAATCTTTTTATTTATTTCTTAATAATTTTTAAAATTTAATTTTTTTTTCTGAAGATGGCTTGCAAAAAATTGATATGTAATAATTTCTTTATTAACTAATGTCATTATTGAGCATAAAAAAATTAAATTTTAAAAAATTAGATATTAAAACTGAAAAATAAATTGTATGAACCAAAGAAAGTTTTCACAAGAGAGCTTAAGATATTGTTGGATGAATTTTAAAGAAAAAAATTTGTTTCTCGTACCACTAAAAAGTTTTCACATTTTAAATATATTTATTAAAAATAGGTATGCTAAAGATATAAATAATTATATATAATATCACTTTTTAATTATTTAAATAATCAAGAAAAGTCTATTTATTTTAATTTTGAGAGAATTTTAAAAATAATTTAATAATATTTTGTTAATGTTACAATTACTGTATGTCGGTCCAGAAAAGTGACGTGACAGCATAAGAGTGAAGTGACAGTGACATGAAAATTGAATCCGTAAATATGACACATGGAATTCCGAATAAGGAAAAGTTTTGGGTGGTAGGAAATGTTCTGCCACTCGTATCCCTATCCCTTGGTATGATCTAGAATCACTACAATAGTCAATAATCAAAATAATATTTTATAATATATGTTAATTAATTATAATTATTATATTACAGATCATAAAAATTATATTTTATACTTTGATATATTTTTTTATAATCAATTAATAATTACACATCATTATGAATCCATAAAAGGTAGCGTAAATTAATTGTTAGTATTATTAAATATATTTTTAAATTTTAAACTATATGATTAATTCATAATTTTAACTTCATTATTATATATATATAATAATTCTTTAAATATTTTAAATTTATTTTGTATATATAATCAATATATTTTAAATTTAATTTTGGTACATTAATAGTGTAAATTTTTTTATATTATCAAGTAATTAGAATTCATCGTAAATATAATTTTTATATTAATTATTATAAAAATTAATGATTCTGGTTAATATAATAATATATGATTAAATGATAGTATTAAGAAATTGTATACTGTTTATTTTGGTAATAGAAATTGTATATTTTCAGTATTTTTAGATTAAACTTGTGTATTTTTGTGTTATAAAGTTAATTTTATGACTATTTAAAAAAAATTAAATAAGTAAATAGTTTATATAAATATACTTTCTTTTAGAATTAATTCTTCTAATTTTTTTTTGTTGAATTTAGTTTTGTAAATTTTATTTTTTTAAACATTTTTTACTAAACATTAAAAGTCTTCAAACAATAACTAAATAAACGGTATTTTATATTATATTTGTTACGTAAATTGTTAGTTTTAGACGTAATAAAGTTTAAATAAATAATTAGTATTTATAAAATATATTTTTTTTTTTAGATTAGTTTTTCTTGGTTTTTATTTTTATTTTTTTAAGCTTGTAAACTTTAAATAAGATAATTTTCTATCATTACATTCAACATTTAATATTTCAAAGTTTCCTAATTTTTCTATTCTTATTGATATGGAAAATGAATATATATTCATGTTGTTCAAGATAAAACTAGATATGATTAGTGTAAGGTTTTTCACTTCATATATGATGGAGAACGTCTACATTGTGTAATAATAAAAATGTAGGTTCAAAATAATATAATAAGATAAATATTTCTATCTCACATAATATAACGTCTTCTAACTATTTTAAAAAAAATTTCAAGAAAATAATATTTTTACCTTAGATAACATTCACTCATCAAGTATTCTTAAAAGAAAGATAAGGTGCTTAGATGCTATCTAAATAAAAAATAATGATTCAAAAGATAAAATTTATTTTTATAAAATAAAAATTTTAAAGAATTAATATCAAAACAAAAATTTAACATAGACTAATTCTAAAAATATGTATTTTTTAGAGACTGATTATTTATTTAAACTTTGTTATATCTGGAACAACATTCTATGTGATAGATACGACATGGAACCTTGTTTTTAGTTAATAGGAAGAATTATTAAAAAAAAATTATAAGACTAAATCCAATAAAAAAATTATAATGATTAATTCTAAAATAGAGTATATTTATAGAGACTATTTACTTATTTAAACTTTTTAAAAATTAAACATCAAATAATTTATGAATTTAATTTTAACATTATCAACTAAATAGAATATATAACTTTTAAAATAATTATTATACAAATTAATATTTTTCCTGATATAATAATTTGATTCAATTACAATATAAAAAGAGTATTTGATCAATAAATTTTAAGTTTAATTGTACTTTTTGGTCCATATATGTATAATTTTGGTGCATGTACTTTTAATTGCTCACATTTATTTTTTCTAATTTTTGAATATTTAAAATAAGTCTTTTATTCTAAAATTTTATTTTATAAATAATAAAAATATAATAAAAGTATAAAATTTTATTGATTTATAAAATTAACTAAAGAAAAATATACAAAACATTTAAATAAAAATAAAAATGTAATGTATGAAGTATAATAAAAGTTTTAATTTTGAAGTTGAAGACTTAATTTAAACATTTAAGAAATTAAATATGAACAATTAAAAATAAAGAAATTAAAATTATAAATACGTTAAAGTATAAGAACAAAACATATAATTAAATCTAAATATTAATTAAATTTATAACATTTTAGTTAAAGATATGTTTTTAAAAATTAAATATATATTTATATATTTTTATAATAATCAAAATTATTATTATTATTATTATATATATATATATATATATATTCAATAATAATTAAATTAATGATTAAATCGTTGAAAGAGAGAGTATAAGAATTGGGTGGGGACTGGAGAGAGTTAAACGAAAGAATTGCTTGATACAGTGGGATCTAAAGATACTCTACAAAACAAATTATCAAATTGCAATTTAAAGTCACAATAAGTAAACATTTCTTTTAGAAGAAAATGCTTTATAAACTAATTTTATTTACTAATTTAATTAATATAAAAATTAAATAAATTATTGATATCGCCACTCACCAATAAAATCCAATAATCAAAGTCAGAACTATTTATGGCCGGTTTATTTTTACACGTTCGAGACCTCCATTGCACTGAAGCAAAAGCTTTTTGCTGTATAAAATCACTGTTTCTATACCTCAAAGTTGTAAAAGTAAAGTTTCAAATTTTTTAACAAAACACAGTGAGAAGTGATGATTGGGTGCAAGACGATAACTGTCCACGATTCTCATGCTACCACCACACAATCTTTCTCTTAAGTTTGTCAGATTATATCTTCATAGCTGAGGACCTTCGTTATTTGCATTTAGAAACACATACTCTTCCCCAATCGAGGACCGCCAAACCTGTCAGCTAGCGTTTTTCTTCTAAGAAAAGAAAAAAACTATTTTGTATAAATGGTGCCTTTCCGTTTTTAGAGGATCGAGCAAGTTAGAAAGCAGAAAAATGGCAGAAACAAAGTTGAGCTGCTTGAAAGACCAGAGATGGTCACTCCATGGCATGACGGCACTCGTCACAGGTGGCACCCGAGGCATAGGGTTCGTTCTCTAATGTCACTCTCATCTCTAATGTTAGGTTAATTTCTCATTACTATGATTATTATTGTTGTTGTTGTTAGGCACGCAATAGCAGAAGAGTTGGCAGAATTTGGGGCTTGTGTGCATATATGTTCCCGTAATCAACAAGACATCGACAAATGTTTAGACGAATGGAAGAGCAAAGGATTTCGCATGACGGGATCTGCGTGCGATGTGCTGTCTCGTGACCAACGTCAAAATTTAATCAAAACTGTTGCCTCAACCTTCCATGGAAAGTTAAACATTCTGGTATCATCCTTCTATGTTTTTAGATTACTTTTTTAAAACAATTTTATATTAATTTAATGGTTTTATTAATATCAGCTCTTAACATTAATTTTTATTCTTAAAAAAAGAAATTATGTGTTTTTGGAGTTTTTAATTGTTATTTATTTTTAAAATTCTTTTTATGTTAGGTTTTTCCTTGTTTCCAAATCTCAATTATTTATATTTTAAATTATTTTCTACAACAAATTTACCTTTTCCTCTAAAATCTTATTTTCTTAAACTTACGTTTTCATCTTTAACCATTAAAGTTATCATGTATATGCTCTTTGAATTTAGAAACATTTCATAGCTATAACTTTTGACAAAAGAAAAACAGGCATTTTTTACGCCTAACTAATTTAAGGAATTGAATCAATTTAATTCAAATTAAAAATTTAAGCACCACTATTAATTTTCTTAATGATATCCAATTGAGTCTTTTTCTTTTTCTTTTTTTTTTACTTGTAGTAATTTTTATCCTTAAATAGATTATAGTTCACTTGATAAATGCATGATTTTTTGTATTAAAAATTTAAGTCGCCACTCTTAATCTTCTTAATGATATTTAATGAGTCTCTATTTCTACTTGTAGCAATTTTTATCCTAAAATAGATTATAGTTGACTTAGTAAATGCATGATTTTTGGTAGGTAAACAATGCTGCAACAACTATACCTAAGAATATTGTAGATTACACTGAAGAAGATTTTACAACAACAATGGGAACTAATTTTGAATCTAGTTACCATTTGTGTCAACTAGCATACCCACTTTTAAAAGCATCTAAATATGGAAGCATAGTTTTCGTATCCTCTATTTCAAGTTTGAAAGCACTGCCTCTTTGTTCTGTCTATGCAGCCTCTAAAGGTATGTTTTTTTATCTCTGTATAATTTAATTAGGAACATAGCATGATCAATTGTAGTAGAAGATAATTAAATAGAATATATAAAATTTAATACAGGAGCTATGAATCAATTCACCAAGAACGTAGCATTAGAATGGGCAAAGGATAACATTCGTGCAAATGCTGTGGCACCTGGACTAGTCACAACCGTATTATTGGAGACTATCACGGTATGTAAAATTCATTAAGTTTATTCATTACACATATCAAAATTGAGCTAATAATCAATGTTCGTGTCATAGAAATCTACTGAAGCAGATAAGGTTATCGATGCTATGGTGTCTCAAACTCCAATTGGTCGCATTGGAGAACCTAAAGACATATCATCATTGGTTGCTTTTCTTTGCCTTCCAGCTGCTTCATATATTACGGGACAAATTATAACAGCAGATGGAGGTTTCATAATATAAATATTTTTATGCTGCAATTATAAATTGAAATAAGTAAATACCCAAAAATAAATTGCTATCAATTTGATTTGTCATAAGCTCCAAGACTATTAATTATTATAAGTAGTTGTTTTGGTATTACTGTTACAGTATTTTAAGGTTATGAAATAGGTAAATATTTTTTTTTTATCATGTTTTGACTTTTGAGTTAATTTCTAATGAGTATGTTACTTCAATTTGGTTTCTCTGTAGCTAAATTTAATTTCTTTGGCCGTATGTGATTACATAGCTATTATACAACATTTTGGTTTAAATATTTTTTATTTATATATATTTGCAATTTATTTTTGTTTTGGTCTTTTTTATTAATATGACCTCCACAAAAAATAAATATATAATGATCTCTTAATTAATCACATTATCATTGGAGAATAAAATTTAGAAAACTAAGAAATAAAAAAAAGAATATTTGAGAAATTAAAACCAAAATAAAAAAAATTACAAAATATAAAGATTAATAATTTATTCAAAGCTAACCTTATTTATCGTCAGCTAGCACGGAGTCTAGCAGAATTTTTTCATCAAAGCTCTTTTACCTTACAAAATTACACAGAGCCTCGTATTTAATCCGAATGTGCCATCCTAGCTTAGTTTTAGGAGAGCAATAAATTGTAAGAATTTAACAGACACCACTTTCAACATGCTAAACTATTTGTGTAAATGTCTAACTCATGGCTAGGTTGAAGATTGCCTTGCCATTTTATGTTTTCTTAAGTACCTCTTGTTTTCAGGTCGAGACACAACTTTTCAATGAGAAATGTACCTACAATAAATTAAAATTAAGAGTAGATGGGAGACATAATAAGGAACATGTAATACCCTTCGATTTCTAAAATTAATTTTTTAACTTGTATAAATTAAACATAATTTATAAATATATGGATTTATCACAAAAAGTTGCATTATTTCTTAATATTTAACATGATAAGTAAAATAAAAATCTTATTTCAATGAAAATATCGTCCATATTCTCAAAATTAACAAAAGAAAAAGGTTCAGGAGTTAAGAGAAATGAATGAAGAGGTACCAATAGTATCTATATTTACAAATATACCATTGGCCATTTTAAGTCCTCATCATGCGTTGTACTTTTATAAGATTGGCTATATTTAATTTTAAGTAATTTGTTATTCTTAAATCATAACTGAATCTTCTAGTTCTATTTTTGTTTGAATAAAATCAATTTTGCTTAAATGAATTTGATAAAGAAATTCTAAACACTTCAACTTTATGTGTCGTTAAAATCACAAATAATGTCACAACCATCCACCCAACATAACACATAATTACATTCATCTCTACCTATTTCTATTCCTTAATTTTTAGCCTCCCATTCCTTAAATCAACATCTTAGTCTCAACATTTGTATATGAACACCTTCTCTCAAATTAATAGAAAATGCGTTTTGAATTTACAGTTTTCAAGTACTTAATCTCTATTTATTTTTCATGGTGGTTTCTTGTACATAGATAAGATATATGATGTGTTTTATAATATATAGGAGATGAGTCTATATTTATGGGTGATGTGGAAGAAAGTAGAAGGATAACAAACTTCGCTAGCACTTAAAGTTATTGAACCAAGCAACACTATTGATAGACACAAGGATTTCGGACTCAATCTACTTCAAGACATAGAATGAGAGTTATATTGTGCTTTCGAGAATACCTAAGTATTGATTATAACGCCCCGAATTTTGTAATATTGTTTAATTATTAAAGTATATATATATATATATATATATTTATTTATTTATGTGTGGATTGCCCTATGAAGTGTATTGATTGACATGAGAATGATGTATATATGTGTGTAATGATGTGAACCTGTATGAATATAATTATGAGAAGTCTGTATAGTGTGGTTGGAATGTAATGTGAATTGTGACTGGACTGGAATAGATTGAATATATATATATATATATATATATATATATATATATATCTGTGTGTGTATGTGTGTGTGTATACAATTAAGTGTGGATACTGCTGCAGGGCATTCTCGCTGTAGTGAGAGAGCTCTGGGCGTGAGGCATGAAACTGTCGCCTTGTCGTTGTAGCGAAAGGTCCCTTGTTGTAGTGACAAAGCAACAGTTTGGGGTACATTTTTTTGTGCAGTCTCGCTGTAGTGAGAATCTGCAGAAACTAGGGTACAATTTTCTCTGATATTTTTGCTGTAGCAACAGAGGGCGTCGTTGCAGCGATAGATGCCTTGCTGCAGCAAGTGTCGCGAGCAGAGGGGTATTTGAAAGGGTTAGGGTTGGGAAAATTCATTTTCCATCTTCCCTCTTCAAAATCTCTTTGATCCTCTCAATCCTAAACCCTATTCTACCGATTAAATTGCCTCCAAAGTCATTCGTGAACTAGATTGAAGGTTGGATTCATGTTGGGAACACTTGGAGGTGAGTTTCTATAGTTAGGGTTTATGATTTCTCATCCCCACTCGCTATTTCGTGTGGGAGTTCCTTTTCATCGTTAATTCGTGAATGGGTCTTTAATACAAGGTAAGGGGGACTCTACCCTATCTCATTGTGTATGATTTACCGTTTATTTTGCTAAATATTTTAATGTGGCTAAGATAGAGGGTAGGAAACGTGTGTTTTGATGAAAATTATTGTATGTTTGAATGCAATGTGATGTGTGATGAGCTAGTTGAACCCATTGGGGATGATTGCGTATTGTGGAATGGTATCAAGTGGTGATTTAATAATGTGAATTGAATATGGGCTTGTGTACCTTGTGCTGTGAACGAGTATCGGCCTGAGTGCTGTGTAATGTGAATGGATGTGGGCCTGAGTGCCATAAGTTTTGATTTATGATTAGATGTTTCAATTAGGTGGAATTCAACATTAGAAATAATATAGTATAGTATTGACTTTTGGAGTTATTCTCAACTCATATTTGAAATTAAAATTTACACTCTTTTGCTACACCAAACTTGATTAGTCAACATCTGAATACAAGTTTAGAATATGAAGAAAAAGTTTGAGAAATTGGATGAAGAATATGTAAGTGATCATTTCAATACACTAAGTGCTTCTCAATCTTAATAGTATGTCGGATAGGATAAGTGAAGAAGAAAGTAGGCACAAGAGATCAAAAGTATTCAATGTATTTTCAACATTTTTTTATTAAATTTATACTTCTATTATAATGTTGTTTAAGTTATTAATATATTATATATTAGAAAAGTTTAAAACATTTGGCAAAATTACTCTTTTCATTTCTTAACTTTAGAGTAAAATTCACTTTTGTCCTCTAAAACTTTTTTGATTCATTTTTGTCCTTGAAGTATTATTTTTTTTCCATGTTAGTCTTTTTCGTTAGCTCTGTTACATAACCTAATAGAGAGGTCATACGTTGCGCTGAAGTGGCTTAATGCCGTTATCTAATCATACGTGGATTTAAAAATCAATTAAAAAATACAACTCTCCTACTTCTCTTTCATCTTCTTGCAATTCCCCCACCTTTTCCCCCCAATCCCAAGCCCACTAACCCTACCTCCCCCTCTCACAACCTTTTTTTCCCCTTCTCCCAACTTTCCCTCTCCTTTCTTGTAGCTCCGTTACCTTCTCTCCCTAACCTAGCAGCCTTGTTTCTCCCTTTATGCAGCCTCCATTTGCCCTTGCAACTTTTCCTCTCCTTTCTCGCAGTTCCGCCATCCTTTCCCTCCAATCTAGTAGCCTTGATTCCCTCTCCCGTAGCCTCTGTTTCCCCTTCCTGCAAGTGAAGCGCTATTAGCAACACAAATAAACACAAAATAATAGAAGATTCATATTTCACAAAATATTAAAGAATTATACATTAAAAGTAATGAAATTTGGAGTTTCATGCAAATCTAAAACAACCTAATAAGTAATAAAGTGAAAAGTTGTAAACTTTGAACACACAGATAGCGAAAGGGAGTATAATGGATATATTCTGCAAATCAAATTTGATTTTTGAGAGATTCTAATAGTGAGAAATTGGACAAGGTTTATGTTCCAAGAGATAAAAATTTTGGTCACCTAAAGTCATCAGACTTCCTAACTTTCACAATAAAATCTAAATCTCGAAGCTGTTTAGCTGAATTAGCATTTGATACAAATTTCACATCAAATGAGTTTGATAGCTTTGATGAAGTTTGGGCACTATATGAAGATGGAATTAAACTGCCTATAGCTATACTCAGTTATCTTACCTGTACTTATGGACTTATTTTGCACTAATGGTGAAAGTGTCCTCAAGTTTCTAGTACTTAATTTAATTAAAGGTATAAGACATGATATAAGGTACTTGTTTTATATTTATGCTATTGGATGGTAAGTTAATAGACAATCAAAGAGTATATAAATAAGAGAGTTATGAGTCTAAAATGTTTAAGGCATTTATGACAAATAAATTATTTGAGCTTAAAAGTCTACTCTATCCCAACTATAAATTAAACCCACATTCAAAATCCTAATATTACTAATATATATTGCACATAGATTTGGTTAAAGTTGTAACGTCCAAAATTTTAACTATCTATTCTATGTTATTAATTGATTTTCTCGATTAGTTTACATGAATAAGGTTAATAAGGGACTAATTGAATATTTATTAGAATTCAAATCTATGTTGATTACGTAGATTAGAATTAAAAATTTAAAGTAGAACTTAAGTAAATACCAATAGAAAATTGGGTGAATAAAAGATCTCTGGTTAGGAGAGAAACCGGTATAGTTTCAATAATTTAAATTACTAGAATAAAATAATATTATTTGTCCTAGATCTAAGGGTGGGGAAGTCATCCACCACATCTTAATACAATAGCCCATAATCAATCTTGTGGGTCATTTGAGACCACAAGATTTATGAACCAATCAAAACTAGCCAAGTAACTCCATTCACCATGGCCACTTGGATATTTATTCTCGCTTATTCCCTTATAAATTTGTCACTTCTCTCACTCATTCTCTTCTCCATTTTTCTCCTTTTCTTACCTCCATTAAATTTTCTCTTAAGCTCACCCACACTTGCAAGTTAGAAACATCTTTTGGAGTCAATTTGGTACTAAAAAGAGGTAAGTTCTATCTTTGTTGATATGTTTATGTAGATTTCTGTGGCTGTCTAGTTTATGTTTTAAATCTTTTAATCCATGATATATGTGGTGTTTTTTTATGATGTATAATTGGATTAATAGTGGGTTGGGTGAATTGAAGGTAGATCAAGTGAAAAACCAAGAAAAAAAAAGGAGAAAATAGCAAGTCTGAAAACAAAATTCTCTAGGGATTCCGTATGAATATACTATGTAGACTGAATATTTC